GTACAAACTTTGCAGTACTTCTAATAAAATATCTTGTCTAGATTCTGATTTTCCACTCAGTATACTTGTGAGTGCAGAATATGAATCTGAACAGATTACCACTGTTGTTGGTTGGATTTCTTCCACCCACTGTAAAGCTATCTGAATAGCGATCATCTCTGCTGCATATACTGATATATTATTAGAAGTTCTTTTTGCAGATTTATATTTAAAGTGAGGAATATACATGGCAGCACTTGTACGCCCAGTTTCTGGGTCTTTAGAACCATCTGTATAAATTTGTAAAAATTGAAAGTAATGACTATCTAAATGCTACTGCACTATTGTCTCTTTGGGAACATATTTCTTGTTTTCGTTTATTAAATTAGATATCTGCAAATCAACTGTTGGCATAGAAAAAAACCAAGGTGGATATACTGGCAGAGCCACCGTGGGGCTAATATCGATATTACTGATACCTATTTGTTGAGCCTGCTTGCCTACTGTCCAGCCAAAACTATTCAGATATGTCTGCTCATATTCCCAGCAGCTCTCCAATATTTTTTTACTGGATGAACTGGTAAAATGACCTTTAATACCAGTCCAATATACCATTTTAAGCTGAATTTCACGAATGTCTAGTGGTGTTTCACCCATTTCTACCTGCAAAGCTGTCACAGGAGAGGATCTAAACGCTCCACAACATATTCTAAGGGCTCGGTTTTGAATTACCTCTATCCTAGTTAATAATGAGGTTGATTAATAATGAGGCTGATGCTGAGGTCTACTTCACTTTGTCAGGCGGGTCTTATTTAAGAGATTTCTTGATTGCGAACAGGTGTGGCAGTAATCAGGCCTGGGTGTGGCTAGAGAAATTTAACTCAGGTGTGATAAACCACAGTTTTAACAGGGGCGCAAACACTTCTTCACACAGGGCCATGTTGTTTTGGATTTTGTTTTCCCTTAATAATAAAAACCTTCATTTAAAATCTGCATGTTGTGTTTACTTGTGTTATCTTTGACTAATATTTAAATTTGTTTGATGATCTGAAACATTAAAGTGTGACAAACATGCAAAAAAATAAGAAATCAGGAATTCCCCACTGTATATATATATATATATATATATAATCAAATGTACACAAACACAAATGTATTGTGAAAAATTGTTTGCTAGAATGCATGGTTCTGGCACATGTATGATTGCATGGCTCTCTATTGTTTTTTTTTGTCACAGTAGATTTTGCTGCAATCACTTTTAGTTCTTCAGGACAGAGTAATGCATTACAAAGGCATTTTTGCCCCCACATTTTAAACACGTGGGATATATTTGCCTTGAGCCCAGTTTCACTTGTGACACTGAAACACTGAAATCCTTTGATGACTTACCTTACTAAGTCAGTCATACAAGAGCCCACCACTACAACACTCACATCTTCAGACATGACCTAACACACATACACACACACAAAAAATTATACTGCATATGAATATAAACAGAATAGATAAATAGATAAAACTACAACACTACATAACTGAAACTCATTAATTTACATTATTTACAGAAATGTTGAATCAATAAAAAAAAATGAACAGAAATATTAAAATGGTTAACTATTGGTAGTTATGCTCTACATTGAGCATGCCTGCACTAATGTGGATGATTATTTCAGGACTGCATCATGTGATTGACAACAACCGTGGAAATCCTTCATTAATTCAATCCCTTGCGTGTAGGCAACGCATGTGAATAGTAGAGTGTTAATCTGCTCAAATCTCCCAGCAGGCCTCAGGGGACTGCAAAAGCCTGCCGCTGGCTAAGAAACAGCCTACATTTTCTCAAAATAACTAAAATCCAGGCTGCATTTTCTGCATACTTCGATTCAGTCTTAATGGCTTGAATAGCTTGAAGTGTTTTGCTGCGACCCTTTGATAGATATGACCATCTCTGCACAAACAAAACGAGTTACATGACTGTTACATGTGAGAGACACTATTTTATAATTTATTATAAGTATATTAGTATTACAGCCTGCAGTCTCAAAGTAGTTTTCTAGGGAGAGCGTACTACATTGTCATGTAAATAAGACGGAATATGCCAAATTCAGTTAGAATAATTTTAAAAGTGGGCAGCCTGGAGGACAATCTGACAAATGATTGAAGTCAACATGTGCAGTGCTGGGAATAATAATATCCAGTTAGACTAGTACAATATTGTAAGAGCAGTCACGTGTGTTTTATTTACAATAAGAGACAGTATGTTAAAATGTTTGTAGATTTTTATAAAACTGTTTATCGAGGCTGGTTTAGCTGGACAGTGGTTGTGATCAAAGTCTACGAATCCTTTGCACCGTCTAATGCATTAATCATATTTAATCATAAGAATTCATGCAATATCATATTCAATAATTTCAACGGTATAATTAATTAGCGTTTAGAATGATTCGGTAAGTTGTAATATTGTACACTTTACCTATTTGCCCACTGAGTAAAGCGATATTTAAATAATCAACGCAGCAATCTCTCTTCTTACGTCTATCTGACAGCACAGAAACGCATGTGTCGAGCATTTGAGCTGTCCCTATTTCCTCCTGTCTTTAAAAAAAACATAATTTATGCTTTTAAAATGTGCCGAAACATAAACATCATGTAGAAAACTCCGTTTTGTCTAATATAGTATACTACTAACTATACGATTGTATTATTCACGTAGTCGTTTAAAAACACCGTGGTGAAATGATCAGGCATATTTCTAAACATCCATAAACAAGTCTCTCAAAAACAACAGCGGAAGTAGGGAATGAGTTCATGCTCGAGATTTGTGCTGTATGTCATATAAAAGGTATCGAGAAGGCGTTTCTTACTTATAAAAATGTAGTTGAGAGAAACGACTGCGTTGGTAATAAAAGAAACATTAGTTAGGCTAATACTCGTTCATAATTCCTGATTAGCATGTTAGCCGGTCTGTTAGCATAGCTCTGCAGCTCCAAAACAAACCGAGTAACAAACGAAATAATTTTCAAATTACAAAACAAACACAAACGTATTCGATTCATTCATGCGCGTGGTCAAGCTCGGCGGCGCTAGTGTTGTTGTTTTGTTTGTTGGTGCAGTTGCTTGAAGTTATTGGTAAATATCAGAGTTTTTGTAGAAATGTTGTTTTGAGAGCAAAAGTAAAATTCCACTCAATTAGTTTAATCAAGAACATGGCCTGTTCTGTTTTTATTTCTCCTCTTAATTACTGTGAGTACTCTTTAAAGGTTTTCCAAAAAGTTAACGTTATTTAGGTTTTAAGTTGTAAAGTAAAAGTAAGGTCGAAATATAATACAGATACTGTCCAAAATGAAGAGAGAGGTTTTTATAGACACTTAGTGGAACTTGGCCATTGTTGAGGTTACTCTAGTTTAACATCAGCGTTGAGTGGAACTACCAAGTGTCCTGTTCCAATTAAAACTGCTTTCATAAGTCCAGCAATCATTGCAGTTATTATGATGATAATAGGTGACAAAGTGAGACTATGGATGGTGGACCTTGGATTCTTTAGAGTGCAAAAAATGCACACCTGCCCATTTTCAGTGGCCTTGGTTCTGGAAATATTATGTAATCATTAAGTCAAGTCTTAATTTAAAAAGATAAAAGCCATGAGCCAAACCAACCAGTGGTGGTGAATCACAACATCACAAACATGAGAAAAAAATGAGAATGATGGATAAATGTAAATTGATTATGTGCATATTTCATGTTTATTACAAAGTAATTGGAGTGTGGATGAGATATATTTATTTTATTTATTTTGTCATTTAGCAGACACTTTTATCCAAAGCGACTTACAAATGAGGACAATAAAAGCAGTCAAAACTAACAAAAGAGCAACAATATATAAATGACAAGTCTCGGTTAGCCTAACACAGTACACGTAGCAAGGTGTATATATATATATATATATACAGGGCCGTTTCTAGGCATAGGCGAGCTAGGCGGTCGCCTAGGGCGACACCAGCTGAAGGGGCACCAATGAGCGCACGTACTGGCACTTTTAGCAGGGTTGTGATAAAGAGTGGCACGGTCACCCTGAAATATGACTGCCGCCCCCACTGGATCCCCCAAGATTATTGGGCTAGAGTACTGTCAATCTGACGATGCCTGTATGCCACTAGATCAGTGCTGTCTGTTGCCTCCTGATTGTTGCATGCAAAGTTTGCATTTGGTGCTCAACAACCCCATTAGATCAGTGGGCTCTGTCAGTGCTTTGGCAAGGTAACACTTTTTTTTTGCCATGCAATAAAGCGAAGTTCAATTGCCAATTTAAAATATTGGTACAGTAAATAAAGTGCACAAAATCAGTATTTTGTTTAGGCAGTATTTGTGGCACATTTGTCCAAAAGGTGTGCGTTTTTTTGCGCCAATGCATTGTTAAAGGATCAGCGTGTCATGTAATATTCCCATATAAACTTTAACATCCAATTAAAAAATATTTGTAGTAAAATTCGCTAATTCACGAGATCAATACATCCTTTATTAGACCGCTTTGTCGAGTTAAATGCATCCTTACGGAGGTGTCGAAATGCTGAATCAATTCATTCACTTCCAACAGAGCTTAATGGGAGCAGCGTCAGAGGGCAGAGCGTCACGTTATTTAAAGGGGACGTTAACGCGTTAACGAGTAGCAAATGATTAAGTAGCTGCATTGGTTACTTTTATGCCACTGATAAAGCTTTTATATGTAGTTTGGGGTAACAAAGGGGTTGTATAGGTTTGACTGAAATAACAATGCAATAACTGACACTTTAAATCAATGTTTCAAGAAACAACAACAAAAAAATTGAACAAATAGGGATTTCGCCTAGGGCGTCAAATTGGCTAGAAACGGCCCTGTATATATATATATATATATATTATACACACAAAGAAAAACAAGTAGATGGAATAGAAAAAATAGAAAGCTAGTGTTTGTTTGTTTTTTGTTGTTTTAAAAAAAAAAGGAATTTTGAGATGGAACTCATTTTTCAATATTTGTTTGTTTCAGTTAATGGAAGATTATTTTTGGCAGAATTATGGACTATGTTGTTTTCAACAAGAATATTTGCTAACGCAATCACTAAGTTGTGCAGGCTAATGGCTTCAACAGAAGCATATACTGTGGATTTACAACCACAAAGCTCACAGTTAGTCTGTCTTTAAAGGTTTATCATTAAAAATCAAATCCCCTATGGACAAAATGAATGTCAATTACTTCCGGAACCCATCTGTTGCACTCTATATTGGAGGCATGCCACCCCAGAAGAAAATGTTGTACATTTTAGAGGGGCCCTATTATGCTCTTTTACAAAGTCTTGATTTTGTTTTGGGGGTGTATTAGAACAGGCTCTTGTACTAGGTTGTTCGAAAAACACATTATTTTTCACATATTTTACATTATTAGAACACCTCTCTCCCCAGTCTGGCATTAACGGCCAGTGTTGCCAACTAATTTTCAGAGAAAGTTGCTAAAGGATGGTCGATTTGTTGCTAAAAGTTGCTAAATGACGTGGTGATGTCATTGCGTAATCACGACGCAAAATTGTCACATCATCAAATCTCAGCAAAAAATATATTTTATATATGTTCATTTAGATTTGTTTGTAAAATAATATGCATGATATAATATTAAAATATAAATAACTGTATTTTTAAATACATTGAATTATTGAAAACGTACACATTTTTGAATGATTTCAATTTAAGTTTTTTTAATAGCTAGTAAACTAGTAATTCTACACATTCTCAACTAATATGCTTTAAGCAGTGTATTAGTAGTTAGTTAGTATGCTACACTCTAAGAAAAGTCTGTAAAAATAAGGCACAATCTACTGTTATTATGAAAGAATTTTCCGTAATGGTTTTTTTACCTGCATTTTAAATTACGCATTGTGTTTTCGGATTACAGGGATTAATATATAATGGATAATGGATAATGTCCTGAAAGATTTTCCATTTTTCTTACAGTATACTAACTGATCAACAATCGCAGGTACAAACTACTAACAAAGTGTACCATAAATGAACAATTATTCAATTATCAAATTATTCAATTATTATTATTAAATTGAACAATTGCAAATAGCAGCTAACTCAATTCACGTGATGTGTGTACTGCTAGGCATCTGTGGTTTCCTCTTTTTGTGTAATTTGGATGGAAAATGTGTGCCTTTTTACTTATCACTTATCAAAAGTTGCTAAAGGTTGCCAAATCAATTTTTTTTTAAATTGCTAAATTTGTTGCTAGGTGCTTTTGGAAGAAAAAGTTGCTTGGGTAGTCTAAAAGTTGCTAAATTTCGTCGACATAGTGATAACACTCGTTGCCTTCTCTAGTGCGGCTCAACCAGGTCTCGTCCCATTCGTCGATATTTGTGATATCACAAATCCAGGAAAATATGCATTGTAGTCCAAACAAGTCGTTCGTTGTAGTTTGTGAAAAGTGATTTCTGTTAAATAAAATATCTCCTTTTGAAGTGGACTTTGAGCTTTGTAACTTCGCAGATCTTTTTTATGCTCAAAGAGCAACATTACAGATGAACAAAGTTGAAAAAGTGAAAAAGCATAATAGGACCCCTTTAAGATTATTTGGTGCACTTTGAGAGTTCAAAATTAAGTGTCTCAGTTTACATTACTTTCACACTAGCGTTTTTATGAAGCCAAACAATTTAAATATAATGATAAAAAATAATACTTTTACTTTATTATCATTATTAATTAAATAATATTATTTTAGACATAATTTACTGTCGTTATTTGTATTATCCCTATAACAGTAATATATTTCTGATTAAGTTCAATTGACGGATGGTTTTTCAAAGCAGTGGTGCAAAACACTTTAGAGATCGATGTTGTTATGAGAAGTGTAATATTATTTAGGTTTATTATGAAATGGTGGCAGGAAAGATTAGACTGTGGTGGTACCTGTGGTACTACTGATAAGGAATGAACATCTAAATTTCTGTATATTCATGGTGTCTTGTCACATTGACAGCGGCAGAGTTTGGAAGATGAACAGTCTCTCTCCAGAGGTGGCATTGAGCCGTATTTCTCCTGAGCTGCGGCCTTTACTCTGCTCTGTGGTGCGCAATGGACGGGTTGGTTTAGACTCATCCAGCTGTCTCCGGATCACTGACCTCAAGAGTGGGTGAGTGTTCGGTAAACTAAACAAAAGCATAACTTTTGGAGAGCAATGCGTTTGTAAGTTCTCCAAGTTACGAATATGACTAATATCTTGAACTGAAATAGCCTATTTCTGAATTAAAATCCTATCACAAATGCTTAATCAGAAGTCCAGAAAGCAGAGGGAACTTTTTCAGAATTGATCAATGAGGTTATTATAGGTCACTGCTTCTTTAAATATCTAAATTAAAATAATATCAAAGTTTTATGGGAAAAACAACTACAGCACAGTATCATGTAGTGAATGGTTGCTATTTCCCATCCTTTGCTGAGCTTTACAGCTCAGGGCCTTTAAGATGATTGCAAATCCTATTTTATGATGTCTTAATTATTCAAACATATTCAATTATTAATTGTAT